TATAAACTCATAAGTTTTGTTTTTTTCAATACAACAATTTGACTAGTATAAAAACCTACAGATTTAAAGTGACATTTCAATTTATTAAAAGGTAAAATTTATTTAAAACTAAAATTAAATTTTAAATAATTATTCCCTTTAACTGGTTTCATTGCATCAACAAATTTTTTTTCAGTGTAGGCCGAATTGCAGTGAATTGAAAATCTATGATATTTTTTGTGCACCTTCACGTTCTTCTGTGTTAATCATGTGCCAAATGATTTATTCAGTAGCCTCGGCTTATGTTTGAAATCGTTTATAATTTTTGGGCCAAATAATTGCAACACCTAAAGCACGATTTGTGTAAATATATGAATATATTTGGTAGCTCTGCAGCTCCACTGCGCTCATAAGTACGGATATATGTTTCGTTTGCTTACACCATCTAAAGTTGGCTTTTGGTGAACTGCAACAACTTGTTTTAGCAAAAGTGTGTTAACAGAAAATATTTAACAACAACAATTGTCGGTGCATATTTCGCATTAGTTTGCTCGCCTGCATTTGCTGTAAATATTTATGAAGTCTTCATGGCAATGACTAGTCTCGAAACTTAAACGCTAAGCCTGTTTTCATGGCAGCTTTAAATCGTCTTCAACATAAATCATTGCTAGATAAGGTTGACATGTTACATCCAACAATACCACCAGACACTTGTGCCACAAACCGAAATTATACGAATACAATAGTCTCGATTAGCTAAGTCTAACTTAAATGAGATACAATCCCCTTGATTGTTAGTTTGGTGAATGAGGAAAATATTTTATTGTCGGAACGCAACTTAAATTTATTTAATGGGAAACGTTTGTGATGTGTGATATATTAGAGTAACAATTTATAGCAGCTGCCGATATCATGACTTTTTTCAGAGAATTAGTATTTAAGGCATTATATTATATTGAGTTAATTGTACGAGTAGTTGAAGTATTGCAAAAATAATATTTCTAAGAGTTAAAAGCATAACTAATTTTTGTTTTAAAATTTTATTTAACTCATAGACAATATCTTTTTTCCAACAATATTTTGAAGTACTTTAAGTACTTTTTCAAAATAATAACTAATAAGCAGCTTGTTATTAATTAATTAATAAATTGCCTCTACTAGCGTTCAGTCAATCATACGAATTCATAATCGTCTGTACTACAAGGTTTGCTTTCAATCTTTGCGCGTGGATTAATTATTTTGCCTCTTATGTATATGCATATATACGAGTACATATGGGTATATACAATGAAAACCCATTCACTTCATTTCTTTAATTTAATATATACTTTTCCTATTTTTTTAAGTTTTATGGACCTGCTCCAATAATTCATCACTTTGGTATACAAGCATATATTTTCTTTAATGTGCTGTTTTTGTTTTCCTTCGTCTGAATTATGAATGATTATGAATCTGTGTTTGCAATATAATAAAAATTAATTAATTTCCTGCTTTGGACAATTTTCTCGTAGATAAACTTAAGTTTACACGCACTTGGCTATTATTAACTCGTATTAGCTTAATTGCACATCAGCTCAGGACATTTTCATTCGAAGCTCATAGACTTTTCGCTTGCACTTGTCATTGCAATAAAAATAGTATCTAAAACGAAACTGCTTGCTGGCTGTGTATCTTTACTATTGGCAAAGAGAAAAAACAACGGATAATGAATTAAAAATTAATTTAGAAAAAAACACAAAAAGAGATTGATTTAATTCCCAAGAAACTAGTCTAGTTACAGTTGCTTTCTACACGAACGTATATATGCAGTGGTACATTCTATTGGATTGAGGTCATCGTTTACTTTTTCTATTTTTAAAACACGCGATATTTTTATTCTTGTGGATAAAAACTAATAACCAGTTCGAGTTCTATAACTTGAAATGAGTAAAAATCTTATAAGATATTTAATTTGGATTGTAATGAGATTGCATATTAAAAGTTTGTGGTTTAAGCACAGAGAATGCTGCTAATATTATTGGTACGAAAATGTTCAAAACGTACTCGTATATATATGTACGTCTATATGGTTATGGGAGTGTTGTAACTACCCACCGTATCAGTGAAAGACTGTTCCGATGATTATAAAACTTATTTGAGCCTTGTATTAATAGAGCTACTCTCCTTTTAATCTTATTTATTCTGCAGTCATACTTATTCCGGAATTTAGAGTTTCTCTTATAACCTTTTTGATTAATTATGTATCATCCCTTAGGTATCAATTTAGAATATTTTTAGTTAAAGCGTAACAATACAACTAAATGTTTTAATTTTAATTATTAATAACGACTTTACTTATATGACATGAATAAAGCAAATGAAAGTAATAATAATAACAATATATGTAATAACAGTAAGAAGAATAAGGATACAAAAAACAATTAAGTTATAAACGAAAATATGATAGAAGGAGAAACTGACATAGAAAAAGAGGGTAATAAAAAAAGTCGATAACTCCTTAACAAAAGATTGGGAATAAGAGAAGTCTTTGGATTGAGTTAGTGAGAACAAAATACAAATCCAAGGATATAACAGCAACGACAAAGTGGTGATATAAGATGGCGTTAGTCAAATAAAGAATGAGAGCGAGAGAGTAAGAGAAAGAAAGAACAAGAGAGAGATAAGCAAGAAAAAAAAACAAAAAGAAAAAGACAGACAAAAATCGAGAGAGATAGAAAGAGAAAGGAGGACAGAAAGATGGGATAAAGATAGATAAAATGTGAGAGAGTTAAAGAGAAAGGAATAGAGAAAGATATAGATTAACATATTAGATTATGCTTAGGCATTATTCTTGATAATCAGACTCCAGTAAATTGCAGTTGAAAATTGTAATGTTTCTAATTAATATATCAACCTATTGATTATTTTTTTATATAATAAATAATATTATCATATAATATATATAATTATCTTTAATATAATTTATAAGTTTACTATAAAGATATACATTGAAAATGGCACATTCCATTTAAAGAAGTATTTAATATAACTCTGTATCAATTAGGAAGTGAAATGTTTACGCATTCATACACTTTCGTCATATTTCCGTGTAGTTAGCTGGCAGTTTAACTCTTATTAATTTAAATATACGCATTTCTTTGAGCTAAACACTGACTGATGTTATGAGTGCAGTGAAAAAGATTACTTCATAATTGATACTAAATGCATGACATTATTAGTGTATAACTTATTTATAATATTACATGATGTTGCTGAGGTATTTCGAAAAAATATTAAACACTAAATAATTTAACGAATCTAAAACATTGGTTGATTAGCTTGACTATTGCTTTTAATTGTTGTTGTTGATTTATGCTTCACATTAGTTATTTTAAACCCTACCATAGTAAGATCAGAAGTATTTTTAGGACCAAGAGAAATGGAAAATTTTTAACTTAACAAACAGACTCTTTGAGTTGATCACACACCTACTTATTATCGATCATATACTTCAATACAAATTCGAATAATCCAATCATATCTGATAATGATATATGACATTTTCTTGACAATTATTTAATGAATTCTACGAACAATATTGTATCGGATTGGGAGACTCAAAGCGAAATTGAATCTTATCTACAGATTTATTTCTAGAAACCTATCGCTGGTATATAACCGACTTATGACAGTTTTTAAAACAGTCATAAATTCAATGGTATTAGTGGAATTACGTCTTAGCAGAATAAGAGCACTTTACGATTTCTATTACGCAAAAATAGGTTACAATGTCTATAGGCTTTTATAGACGTGTGTAAATGAAAAAAAATTAGGTGATAATCATAGAATAAGTATTAATTGAAAAATAAAAAAAAAATATATATTTATTTGTTCACTTTAAAGCACTAGTAAAACTTTTTAATCAATAAAAACAACAATTTTATTTATCAAATAAATCTAATTAGTTTTTTTTTAATTAAACACTTGACACAAGGAAATGAACACCGTCCAGATAGATACACGCGTGCAAAAGTCTCGATTTAAACTGATATACCAGAAGTCTAAAGTTGAGTTCAATAGCCATAAAAATACATACTAAATAGTGCAATAGTGGTTGTTGTTGTTGTTGTTGTTACTGTTCAGTTTCTTCTTAGTCTAAATGTTGTTATTGTTCTGTGCACCTCGTATTAAAAAGTATGATTTGCTATGCTTGTATGTTAAACAGGCTGGAATCTTAAGAAGCTGCCACAATACAACATCAGCTTTTCTGTAGCCCCCCTCGTGGTAATGCTTTTAGTTTTCTTTGAAAGCCACTTGTTATAAAAGTGGCTCCGGCAGCAAGAAGAAGGAAGCCTTTGTAGTCTTCAACCATGAGCACCACAAAGTATGTGGCCAGCAAACCATGCAAGACTTTGAGTCTGCGGTTTTGTTGTTGTGGCTATTGGTTGCAGTCGTCGGTACAAAAATTCTGGTTCCCCTTGCTTTGTGCTGAGTATGTAATGCATTTTCTTCAATTTCTTTTTTCTATTCAGTCATTTTCTACGGCTTTTCTAATTTCAACTCTTTCGTCTGTAATACTCGAATTCATTTTCTTGTTTTTCCGTATCGTGCCATGCACTGTATGTGTCTGGTGCACTGTTAAGTCGATACGTTGCAGCTTGTGGCATTAAGCAAAAATCAATCAATCAATTTGTTGTTAAATTGAGTGATTTAGAAGAGTTTCTTCATTCGTCATTCATTTTTATTTTTCAATATAAATTCTGAAAATTGGTTATAGAATGCTTCTTTGCATGTTTCTTGGCGGATTTGTTTACAAATCTGGGAATTGGTGCATTGATTTGTGATTGAAGTGCTTTTCTTGTCGCATTTCAATTTAATTTTGAAAGATTTATTGAGTTTACAAAATCAAAAATTGATTTACTTTAATTCCAAAATAAATGGCCCACATTTAGAATATTGTAGATTTTTATTAACTTTTGTTTCAAAGGAAAATGAAAAAGTTGTAAAGAGGGTAATATACACACGTATTTCAATATATATAGTCCATATATAGTCTTTTATCATGCATTTTCTACTGTAAAGGACAGAAGCTAGGAAAATCTCCAATAGTGCTGAGAAGGTATAAAAAGAATTTGAGAGAAAAATGCTTTAGAAGATCTATGGTACTTTACAAGGTGACAATAAGTATAGAATTAGATGAAACGATGAACCATCTATGCAAAATAGTTTAAATAGTTAAGAGCATAAAAATTTTGTGGTTTCGCTAGCTAGGTTATGTCGTGCGAATGAAGAAAATGCTTTGACTAGAAAGGTATTTGCTTCGGTACTCGCTGGTCGTAAATGTGGTAGGTGAAGTCCGCATCTTTGGTGGAACGACCAGGTAACTAACGATATGAAGGCAGTAAAGAAAGTGGCTACGAAATCTTTGGGACGTCTAGCTTAAATAGTCTTTACAAATATTTCTGAAGTTGATAATAATAAGAATTTTTTTCACAAGTATTTAGATTCGAATGAGTACTCCATGAAGTAGCTATATTTAAATCAGTATCAATTTATATGAATATCAGGATGAACTTTATTTACGGATCATATATTATTCATATATACTATAAAGCAAACACTGTACAATAATTCCCAAACTGAAATTATATTTAAAAACCAATAAAAAACTTGGCGGTAAAATTGTAAACAAAATAAATATTTCACTCAATGTTGCATTTCCAAGAATTACAGTTCAACACTTTGTTGGAGTTGGGCAACTGGATAAGATGTGACAGCTTCATCATTTTTCGTCCATTGCTAGGCGCAGATCGTATTGGTGGTCAGATAAAATTCTTACTTTCTGTGCGACTATGACTATTAGGCTATGCCTAGTTACGAGTTATCCTTAGTTTCTAGGTCAAGATAGATTATGGTTCCGGTTTGATGGAAATGATCAATTCTGCTATTTAATCAATCTAATCTGCAATAAGTTTTAGGACTGTTTCACTTCGGTGGAATAGTGGAGATTGAGCATAGCTTAGCATATGCCATGTAAAGTACATTTTGGACACACATAAGAAATTATTGGTTAGTTTCAGTGCCGGCAGAGTTTTCAAGTAATGGAAGTAACGCCGTCCAAGTAACGCAAATGAGCTGTTTTGTTGCCCTGTAAGGTATAAATGACCCAATTCGTAATAAGTAAATGTTTAGAGAGCACGCGACTATATTGTAACCTTACTTGAATTAGGACTGTACTTGCTATATGAAGAAATTTTTTCTTTTGGAGATGACAGACAAATGTGCGATGAGAACCAAAGCGTAAACCATACACAAAAAGGTTGAAACTGCAGTTTGGACTGATTCATAACATAATAACTTACTGTTGAGTATGCTAACCTATACCGTAAGTTTCGTTGTGCCAACCAAATTAGTGTTTGCTGTATGGAGAAGTTATCTCTTTCCTTCTAAAAGGAGAGATATGAAGATTGCACGCATTCAAAGATTTAAAAAAGATAGCACATTGGTGTTCGGCTTCGATTAGGCTATTTATTTATCATCAATTTCTATAATGTGCAGCTGTTGATTTTGCTACAACATTGAGTTATAAAAAAATTGAGTTTGTTATAAAAAAATTTGTTTTTATGTTTATACAAATAAAATTTTTTTTCTGTAAATAAAAGAAATAAATTGCAAGGCTAAAATTGTTGCAGAAAGTAAAGGTGTTGATACGAGTACATACAAAAATTTAATAATTTGTTTAAAATTAAAATTTGTTTCTGTATAGCGAGAGCTGTTTTTATTTATTAAACTGAAATATATTGGTTTGGATTCTAAACAGAAATATTATGGAAATAGTAGAAATTTACATAAAAATTTCTGTGGAGAAGTAATTGGAAAGGTTAAATTTGCAAATGTCAGAATGACAAAATAGAAATATGTAACATTGAAATAAATTATTTATGCAAAAAGTTGTTAACATTTCAAAAATTAAAATAAAAAAATTTAATAAAAATATATGTATCGTCAGTAAAAAAAAATCATTTAGCGTTTATGGAACGAGTAAGCATTTTTCAGTGAAAGCGCAAAAATTAAAAATTCTAACTTAAAATGTCAATGTATGTCATTGGAGACACTCGTACTACATCGCGGAATTATGGAAAGCTTTTTAACTACAATTTCATTACAAAAATATTAATTTACGACGACGGCATTTAGTTAATGAAAATATGAATTCAATTATGATTCACATATCAACATTTAAGTTTATTAAAAATACTTGCTTTTATTTGTAAATATCAACTTCAAATACTCATGCAGTACAAAGAAAGCAATTGAAACTCAATTACTCAATATTACAATCGCAATTACCCGGAGCCAGTAGTCGTAATGGCACAAAAGCTTCAGAGTGCTATTACCACCCATTGTTCAATTAATAACATGCGACTTAATCGCTTACAGAGCGCTCCATAATTCTTTGTCCCTTTGACTAATAAATACTCGGTACTGGTTTGTGAGTACATATTTCCATGCTCTTACAATATGTCCAAATAACCTTTCCAGCTGCTTTTATTAGGAGGACACACAAATTGAATTTGATTAAAATCAATTTAAATTGATTGCATCAACAATGGACAGAGAAGTTTGGTGAGCAATACTTTCAGTAATTTAATAAAAAATACGAATATGTGAATAAAATTGATAGCTGACACTGTAGTCTCTTGTTTTAAATAAGTTAAATCAGCAAATTTCAATCGAAATGGTTGTTTGGTTTTTATAGCCAACAATTTTTACACTATGATGACTCATGAGAAGACCTCGATGAGTTTGTTAAACGGATTTAAATTAATTAATTTAGTATTTTTGCTAATGTTAGCTGGTTCATTTCTTGACGTCAGAACAAGAAATGGTAGAATTAGGTTATAAACGTATTGTAAAAGGATTATCTTTATAATAATTGCAACTTACCTTAAGAACTGAAGAGAGGCTGCTAGCAGTCGCAGATTCGGAAAAAACGCTATCATGCGATTGTGAAAGTTGATCTTGTGTATTATAATCACTGAAAAAAAAAGTATTAAGTTAATTTTTTGCTACTATATAGAGTTATATACAAATTAGAGATATCAAATTTATATAAAATGTAGTTTTATCATTAATATGAAGTTGTACAATAACTCCAACTTCTATAACTCGAATTTTCTATAACTCGAACTAAATAGAATGCAACAGGATTTAGAGAGCGAAGTACATACAATTACAAAAAAATTCTTTAGCTCGAAGTCTCCATTAGTCGAAAAATTTCTTTGCAAAATGGTATTTCGAGTTATGGAAGTTTGACTGTGTATTTCTAATTTACTTCTCACTTCTTTTTAACATTACTATTAGTTAAACCTCTTTATAATTCCCTCGTTTATATCTGACATAAATAAATTTACTTTAAATATATCATAAGTATAATAATTTAATAATACTTTAATTGTAAACTGACCTGTCAACTAAGCGTCCTTCACTCAAGCTTCTCTGACTGTCGGACATTTCTCCGCCACTGTTATTATCATTTGTACGTCCTGCATTGTTGCTATCAATGTTACTACCACTACCATTACCACTGCTATCAAGGTCCTGCGATGAGTCACCAACGCTACGTAGTTTCTGTCGCTCACTGAAAAAACTACGATTCATTGCAGTTGGCAATACTGCAACGCCTATAGATTGTCGTTGTGGAGTATTACCTGGCCCCACATATGTATGCTTTGCATAATTCTGTGTGTGATGACTATGATGATAGGAAGATGTACTTGAAGTTGTTGTTGTGTACATATCGTTATCGTTTATTATTGTCGTACCAGCCGACGTTTGGTCTCTTAATTGTTGTAACTGCTGTTGTTGAAGTTGTTGTTGCTGTTTTGTCTTTTGTTTTTTAGATGCAGCATCTCTACCTAATACGGCTGCTCCTATACTACTCGCAATGCCGTACGATTTTGATTTAGGCAATGATTGTGATGAATATGATTCCTGTATTTGTTGGTGTGTTAATGGCGACGATGGTGATGAAGCCGAAACAACAGAAGATATCGAAGAAAGTGTAGCACTACGTAAATTCTTTTCACTGGTACTACTTGTAGGCTGTTGTGGCACTGATAAGCTGGTTGGTGTATCTGTTGGATTAGTGATGGTACGTCGTCTAAAAATACGCCGCAAATTTCGTAAAGGATGAAAACGACGCCGTTTTTGTAAATCTAAAATATTAAAAAGTTGTGGTAGAGTGAAATTAGATAATTTAAACATGATAGAAAGTTTAAATTGGCAAAGATGTTAATGCCGCAATTTTGAAATCCGCAAAAGCGGTGAAGCCTGAAACTTTAAATGTGTTATATGAAAATTAATAAAAAAATTACGCAATGAATAAAATATTTTGAAAAACATATGTCAATTTTAAAAAAAAATTGTGTATGTATTAAATATTGTATGATATATATTAATAATTCAAAATAGTATTAGAGCTTGCATACTCTCCTACATATTCTCTAAATTTAATTTAAAGTACTCATAAAAAAGGTTATATTATAATAAACTTTAATGCATATAGGTATACGATTTTTCAGATTTGGGACAATGGGTAAAGCTTGGAATCTATGACTAGAGGCAATAAAACGGTCTTAAGAACGATAATATTCTGAAGTTACTGTGAAGAAAATCCTGAATCAATGCGAGTTCCGAAAGAAAGAATGGAAGAGAAAACATTACACAAATCTTTTGCGATTATTTGTTTGATTAATTGGAATAGGTACTTGAATATTTTATGTTGTTTAATCTCTCAGAGAAGAAAAATATTATATATCAACCATAATAAAAAAGCAATCCCTAATATTTTAATGGCTGTGGGTTAGACATATGTAAGGCAAAATCATACAGTTTCTTTTACTCAGTGATTTAATAAAACTTAGTCTTTCATATAGGTATATGCAATCCATGAATATAAATACAAAACATAGAAACAGTTAAAGATCTAATGCAGATTGATTATCTTGCCTTTTTAATTGAGCATCGAGTGTTTTATAGCCGTATGTAAATAATAGGACACTTTAGATCTTCTATTGGGCTCGACTTTATCTTCTTGCAGTTGATGTGCGCAGCCTATTGAGATTACATAATGGTTTTCCTGGTTATACTAGATTGTTTGGTTGGTGATTTAGTGTTAATAGTAATCTAGATCTAAAATTGGATCAGTTAGCGTGCTAGGTTTTATTATTCTAGAATCTCAATTTATACGAATTTTTATTTTAGCGATATAGAGAGCTTTCGAAATTGTAGTTGGCATTCAGTGTAATGTTTGTATTGTTAGTGACCTTATTATATTCAAAGAGAATATTTTAGTTCTAATGTATATAAATCAGAAAATAGTAAATTCAGAAAATAAACTAAAATTTCCATTTTAAACACTATATTTTATAATCAAATTACATAGCGAGAAGAACACATAACGTCTGATGAAGGCATATTATTTTTGGTGTCTTTTTTATTATTATTAATTACCAAATTAATTTTTATATTTATGCGAACCTCTAACTGCCGACTTTCTAATAGAGTACTTGCCCTAAGAAGGCTAATTTACTAGTACTACCGCACAAGGACAATTTCGATGTTGCCATCGTAAAGCAAAATAATAATTTCCAAACAATCAACACCAAAGCCGCTTTGTACAAAGGATTTGTGACCTAAAGGATATACAAATGAAGAAAAAAATTTTTAAATATGTTTATTCCAAAATGCGGCAGAAAATATTTAAGCCAATCTAATACAAAAACAGTTAAAAAACTTTTTAAATTTGTGTGCATTTTAGCAAATTCAAATTGACAAAAAAGATATTGAAGAAAAGCTCAGTAAAATAAGTTTTATTTCGCATAGATAATTAGTATTTTAACTGAAAGTTTTTAAGTGCTTGACCGCTTTTTCAGATTTTAATAAGTTCACATGGCTTAAACACATGTGAACACATAAAAAAGATACTCAATACTTCAATGCATATAAATTGTCCATCCACGTAATTTCAGATAAGATACGACCTTGCACACCACAAATTTACTTTTTATTTTTATTTCACTGGCATTTTGCACTTTTTACTATATTTACACTTTTAACACGCAATTTACGGGGTTCGACCCATTAAGTGTTTCATTTGTTACGTTTCCGATATTTGATAAATTCTTCCGTCCATTGAAAAAAAAACCCGAAAAATCGCTATTAACGAAGCGTTAACCCAATTCATGTCCAAATAAGGCAATGTTTCGTTCGAATTGATAAAAATTTTGTTCAGAATTATTTGTGTGCTTAAATGTACGTCAAAGTGTTTCATTTTATTTTATTTTGAAATACTTTATCAGTTAATTCAGTTCATATAACAAGCATTGCCTAAAGCACTTAATTGACTATTTCGAGTGTACGGTGTACAAGATTGGGCAATACTTGAACACATCCGAAAAACAATGGAAAAGAAAACACTTGATCAAATATTGAATAATTGGTAAATTTCTCGGATTTTTTAATTCTTTGAATAATAATTTTGGATTCTTTGAAAGAATACTTACACCTGTTAAAATATTAAAATTAATAAAATAAATTCTTACAATTGGTATACGATATCTAATGTCTCAAATATAATAAATTTTTAAAAGTTAGTATACACGTAGGGTTGCACAGAGTTTGGAGAGTCCATTGGAGCAAATTTTTGAAGGCATCTTGCTATTATTAAAAGAAGCATTCAAGTTGGCTATCATATGTATATAAACAATTTTTTTTCAAAAATTTAAGCCATGTTGTAGCCAAAGCTACAACACTGCACTTTTACACTACAAATCAAATTTGCTATATCGATTTAACGTATTCCAACGTTTCTGAACCTCCGGTACACGGCGTTAGCATTATTAGTTCGTCGAATATCATATTTATATTTTTGTTTTAAAAACGAAATGTCTTTAGTTTGTTTTTGAAATCTACAAATATGTAGTATATAGAAGAGTAAATGCAGATTATAGATCATTAGAAATAAAGTTCATTAA